GTCATATTTTTTTTTTTTTTTCTAAACATATGAGAAGGGTTGTTCTTGGGCTGGTGTGGGGGGCCAGTGTTCCACAGCAAGCCACGGATAGTGAGTGACTCTGACATGCTCAAAACCACCCGGGAAGCTAGGTAAATGTCAGTTCTCAGACCCCTTTCCTGGAGGGTCCCCAACAGGTTGGCCTGTGTGCTCCCTGCTCATTCCTGCTCTTTGATCCATGCCAAGCCAACAGACCCTAGGCTGAGCTGGTCTCTTCCTTTTCCTACTCAGAAGAAAGAGCACCTGGTAGTGGAGAATCAGTTGTGGGCAGAGATCAGGCCACAGTGGTTGCCAGCCGGCCCCCGGACTGATTCTTTTTCTCCTCGGTGATATATGGCCTCTCTGAGACTTTAAATTTGTCAGTAGATGGCCATGATTTCTGAGCAAAGACGAAAGTTGACTCAAATGAAATGCTCAATTGTTACTCTGACAAATATTCATAAGCAGGGGAGTGTCAATGACTCAAAGGATGATTTTTTTTTTTTTCATGGCTGGGTCAGTTTTAAATTTCCCACATAGAAACTCCCAGAATTTTGGAGGTCACTCAGCCAACTTTTCATTCATTAATGGAATCTCTGAAACTGAGTTTTTCAAACCCTTTTGAATATGATCCATAGGGGGGAAAAAAGTGCCATGATCTGGCATATACTACATGAATAAATATATTTCACAGAAATAAAAGTGACAACCATGTACCAATCTATTTGGTTATTTATTTTTTAAAAAGTACTGGAGAATTTTTCTAAAAAAGGTTAAAAAAATATGCTGGTTGGGACACATGAATGACATGAATTTGCAGTTTGAGAAGCCCTTCCTTCCTCACATCTCACAAGTTCAAGGTAGGTGGTCCTGAGCTCATGCTGGCTCTGCTGAATACCCTTGTATGGCCCTCAGAGAGGCATTTAACAGTGAGAAGCCTCATGCTCCCTAACATATCTGAGACAGAGGATGCTGGGGACCTTGCAGTGCTGAACGAGGATTGACCAATATCTGCAAAGCACCTGATGTTTAACTAGTGTGATTATCAGTCTTGGAAAACTAACATCTTTTAGGCAACTGGGTGTAACCCACGATACCCCTCCTGACAGGCACTTGTTCCTCCCCTAGTGATGGAAGCCCAGGCAACCATGGACCAGGCAACCAGTTCACTCATGGCGTGTAAGCCCACGGATGCACAAACAGATCTCACATGGCAAGGGTCCAAAAGCTCAGAATCCTCCCAAGTTCCAGCAGAGATCTCCTGTGGCCCCTAGGCTGCAGGCTCAGCTCACCCCAGGTTGCTGCCCCAGCTCCTGAGGCAGCAGGACCTTGAGAGGGGCTGCCCTGGCACAGGTTCTGCAGCTGCCTGAAACAGACACATTCACAGTACCAGTGGGGTTACATGTGCTAGTGGCACACACAATCCCGATCACCTGCTATGAGGCTGGGAAATCTGCATTTTACCAAGCTCCTCAGGTCATTCTTGAGCACATTTGGTCAAATGGTGAAGTCAGAGTCTCTCTAAAGAGGCTGCCAGGTACTGATGACTTTATAACCCTTATAAGATGCCACTCTGTCCTCACTCAGGCCCGAACACCTTTACATCAGGCTTTAGGGTAGGTTCAGCAATTAACAAAGCCATGTGAAGGAAGAGCTCTAATGCTGAGGTCCACTCACCAAGGCAGCTGGTGCCCCAGAGTCCACTTTGCCAATTAGGAGCCAGCAGCTGGGCTGTGACTAAATGAAAGGAGCAGGAGCTTCTCTGAGGCTCACAGACCCGGGTGCTGCCCTCGAGGCCACTGAGTGCGTGCTGGTGCTGTTCCCCCCGCCCAGGGGTTTGTTGGTCAGTTGTCAAACACAACCATTGCTAAAAAAATAAATTATATAAGCTTCCCATCAAATAAATGGTATTAAAGACAAAGGTAAAAACTACTCAAAACTCACTGCTTTTTAATTATTTTACTACATTTGCCTATGGCCCACGCTCTTGTAGTCGGACACCTGCCTCTGTGTAGCTGAGTGGCGGATACAGAGGGATGTGCTAATGGGTATCTCCCCCAGAACATATGCAGCTGCCTCAGCTGGTAAAGGCCAAGGCCATGTGGAAATACTTAATATAGATGTCAGCCATAGCACACATCAAGGCTGGGGTCTGCTGTTCAAGTTGATTGTTCAGCTGAAGCAACTGCAGGTAAAATTTAATCAAGCCTCGAGTCTGTAGCTGTTACATTGGAAATAAACAGCTTCAAAAATGGAGAAAATATTCCTCCAGTACTAGGAAAATATTATCTGACTGAGCAAAATCATTCTTATCATTGAAGAAGGAACAGAGTTTTGCACTATTTCTTAAAGTAAATGATAACATCAAGCATTCTTTTCAGAACTACAACCACTTGTGAATGGCCACGAATGGTAGGCTGGCCACTTGAATTTGGTGAAAATGAAAGATAATGCTGTTAAGAATCAAATGGCAGCCTGGTGCAGCCACTCAAGAGGCTTAAGAGGGAGGATCACAGGCTGGAGGGCTCTGCTTCACAACAAAATAAAAAGGGCTGGATGTAATGCAGTGGTAACATACACAAGATCTTGGGTTCAATTTCAAGCACAAGGAGATAAAAAGATTCAACTGGCTACCTGGAACTTAAATTAAGAGTATTATATACCTGTCTTGCAAAACTGTGTGCTGCACTTAGTGGTAGAGAACCCCACTGGGGTTGAATCCCAGTGTTGAGGAAAAAACAAAAACAAACCCCTGTGCTACACACCTTCATTTCATTGAAGACACTACCAGCTCACTGCTTTTAGTACACAAGAGAATGCAAATGTCAGACCAGAGGGTTAACCTGAAGCTGTGTGCGGGGCATTCAGCAGCATTCCACCTCCTTTCCAAGAGTGGGTGGGTGGGGCAGTCTCACCGTCACCCAGCAAACGTGGGTACTTTAAATGGGGGTGGGGGTGCTGCAGCAGACTCTAAAGGTCTGAGGGAAAGGTCATAGAGGTCATCACCCTCGTAGGGTCTCTGGGACTCAGTTCCGTTTTTTCTTAACGTCTTTATGATTCTGATCAACTTTATGATTTTGCTTATTTTGAAAGGGACACAGGGAAGCCCCTGAGCTCTTTCCTTGTCATTGTAGATGGTGAAATTAAGACCAGAGAGGGCAAGTATTTTCCCTTCGGCACACAGCAAGCCCAGGGCAGAGCCGGCACCAGAGCTGCAGGCTCCTGGCCAAGATGTGCCCAGGGCAGAGGAAGGCGGTGGGTCTCGGTAAACATTCCTCCCCCAAGGCCTCGGCGCAGATCTGCCTGACCGCCTTCAGCTGAGGCTCCTCGGCGTTACCTGCTCCTATCACCACCGCGTCGTACTCGGCTTTCACGTGTCCCCCAGCTTCTGAGTAAACTCGTCTCCAAGCAAGGCGGGGAGAGACCCCCACCGCCCTACGGAGACCTCGGAAGCGAGCAGCCATTTCCGCGGCAGTCGGCCTGGGGCCCGGGCCGAGCGGAGGGCGGGGCTGCAGGCTG